AAACAACATTACAGGGTAAGTTTCCCTGAACAGCTCATGAAGAATCTCTCCTAATTGTGCTTAAACAGGAAAAAGAAAAAAACAACATCCCATTCATTGCAATTTCCTTATCTGAATTCTAATCAGCTCTTTACAGACAAACATGGTAAAGAAATAGATAAGAAAACAAACCTGTGTAAGAGCCAGTGAAGGATGTTGTAAGAGGAAAAGAGCTTTCGCCCTTTGCACAGCTCAAGGAGTTTGGAAGAAAAATTCAGCCAAGTGAAACTGGCTGAATACTTCCTATGCTTTAGATTTGTAAGCCTTACTAACCCTCCATAAGGAACACCAAGCCTTCTAGTGGTGGAAGGATTGCACGTTCCCCTCATCCTATCATCTATCACAAGCAGCAGGTGCTTTCTGAGTTCTGGGATCTCAATCAATACAGCAAATAGGAGACAGATTGCTCCACAACACCGTTCTCAACTAAATTAACCTGAAAGGCACAACTGATTCTTCTGTTTAACATACACAGCTCTTGTGAAATTTCTAAAGAGGCTTTGGAAAAATGTCAGGGGCTGGGGGATGGAGGAAGCTGATGGAGCACTCTGAGGGTCTCCAGGCAGGAATGTGAAATCACAGTGACATGAACACATAACAGATGGCCATATGGCTCCATACAGACTGTGAAATTCAAAAGGTGAAGAGATTGCTTGAGGTTTGCCTCGTGGAAGCAGAGAGGACTCATCTGTGCTTTCCTTTTCTCCAGCTTCTCAGAACTTTCTAAGCATCTTGTACCTGCAGCTATCCCTTAGCTTCATTGCCTTTCAGCTCACTTATGAAACATTTTAGCAGAATCAATACAAGATTGTTCATTATTCTGAAACTCTGTTTTTAGTAGGAAAGTATTGCTGGCAGGGCTTTGTCCAGCTCTGGTATTCTCAGTATTGAAAACCACATCAAGTCAGCTCATGAAAAACAAATGTGAGAACTTGTATTTTTAAACTTAATTATTCATACACAGGTCTTGAACAGAGCCCAGAACATCAGTGGTTTTAGCAATTTGGTACTAGAGGATAACAGCTTCAAATCTGATTTTTAAGTGGGCACAGCAAGATACTGAACATCCCTACTGTGTATTTGTTTTAAGAAGGAACATAAATGTCAAACGTGTAGATTAGAAGATCTGAAGATAACGAAACAACAGTGAAAGCACAGGAATTTTAGTTCTTAAAAATGTAAGGATTCAGAACTTTGCTTTGAATTGAAACCAAAAAACTCATTCAGAGGACTTTTGTTCCCACATATACGTGCCTTTACCACAGCTTATTTTCCACTGGAACAGGAAAGACAAGCAATTAAGCTAGAATTTGTATCATCATCTTGCAGTAAAGACCTGTGCTATTTCTGTAAAATCCCCATTACCTATTGGTGTATTAATGACACTAAAACATGGATGTTGCCTGTGCCACAGTGCTACATTACAAAGGAAGCAGTCTGCTATTTCAAAGATGCACTACAGTTAAGCACCAGTGACTGTTTTGTAAGAGGAAAATATTTTGACCCATTCTTCTGTCACAGTGCATCTTCCACGTGTTCTGTTCTCCAGACCATCACCTTCACCACTGAAAACAATGTTGCAGCATCACTTAACAGAAAGCCTCCACTATTCCTGTCACTCGCACAACAGAAGGTTTCTCCACGTACCTGAGAAAGAGCAACAAATCATGGAGCATTTCTAATACCACACTCCACCCAAAGTGAAACACAGTTAGATGAACAGCTTAATACCTAAAAGTCATCCTCAGAGAAAGAAGTAAGGTGATTAAAAATAAAATTAGAAGAAAATGTTATAGTTTGCACTGAATAATGCTTATACCTAAGGTCTGACCTTTTAAAAAGTGACTGGCATGGTTAGTGCTTTAATTATATGATTTTGCTAAAGCCAACTGGTTTCATGATCTGAGGTTTTCATGACATTTTGAACCACCTGGCTAGAAACGTCCACCCTGAAGCTCCCCTTGAAATGTGTAATTCCTTGCAGGCTTTTCTCAAGAACACAGATCCTACTAATGCTTGCAACATGGAAACCTGACATTACTTGCCTTCAAGGTGAGGTGAGTAGGAAGGAGTTGCCATCACTTGCAGTAACTTGTTTCTTCCTTTTCAGCACTGGATGGAGAGAATTTGTCTTCCAGGGCACCATTTCTTCCTCACTGGGCTCCAGGTTTAAACAGTCAGAGCCTTCTTACATAACTTCTGATGATGGCAGACTTGCTCCTTACTCTTGCCACCACAAGGCACATCATGAAAGTACCTTGATTACAACCCAAATAATTAATCATCCATTGGTACTTTTAAATAAATATCATGTAACCACTTTACACTCAGGATGTTTCTCAAGAAAGTACTTTTTCTCCTGTCCTTCAGATGTTTATGTTCTCAAACTTATTTTCATCTTATAATATAAAATTGCTTGAAATACAAAAATATACCCAACTCTTTGGCTTGCCAGGCACAGTTCTCTTCTATTTCAGGCAACAATATCATATAAACCAAACGATGTCACTTCAAAACACAGTGCTCTGTCCCTCTTATTTCTACAGGAAAACTGTTCCAAACCTTCACTTCTCTTAGGGCAAAACAAATTATTCTGATTTTAAGCCTGCATTTATTCACGGACAGTTTACATCCATTTGCTCTTGTGCCAATAGTGTACTTCAGCTTAAACAACTTTTCCCCCTGCTTGGTGTTTTCTTTGTTGAGATATTCATAGCTTCCCATAAGTCACTCCCTATTTTCATCCTGATGCAGCCTTTAAGTTTATCCAGTTTGCTTTGCTCTTGTTATTCACAGTTTTCTGAAACTAGCTGCAGTATTCCAGACAAGCTTTTACTATGGTTTCATGAATTAATACCTCTGACCAGCCCGGGTTCCACGTCAATGCTGTTTCATTTTCACGTTGCTCTTCATTTATCCTCTGGTTTTTCTATATCCCTAATATCATTTCTACCTCCCACAGAGAACAGGAATCTGGGGAGGAGCAGGGAGGTTCCCAGCTGTATAAGCTTACAAAAGAGGAGCTCATTTTTTTAAAACAAATTTCCAGATTCCATTTCCCAGTTGCTCATTTTTCCCCCCACTGGTGTCTGCATCCTGTCCCAGTGCTGCATCATTTACACATTTTATAGAGGTGCCTTCAAGTGTTCTTCTGGATGATGGAAATCCATTCATCAACAACAGCTCCAGCGCAGTTTATTTTTCAAATTACCTCAACTCACCAACCATTGCATTGTGCCCCACCATTGCCTTTCCAGCAGCACATCACCAGTAAGCAGGACTGTAAGTCTGGTTTATTGTGTCCCACATCACTGCCACATCACTGCCCGCATTTGCCCAGCACTGTGTGCAAAATATTTTCTAGAACGTGTTGGGAAAAACAAAATCTCCCCATGTCACAAGTACTCAGCCACAAGAAGTGGGTAAACTGTGCTCCCAATGCTTCCAGGATGCAGAAAGGACTGGGAAGGCTCTGATCAGCCAGGAGCCATGCCACATGTCTTACCTAATATGATTGCTTGGTTATTAAAACAAACAAACAAAACAAACAGATAAAGGGAAAGTAAAAATTATAAAAACCATGACGGGTCAAAGTCAAAGGATTGTTCAGGATCCTGTCTGAGTGCACCTAGCTGCAGATTATTAAGGTGCACACAGCTGGAGTAAAAAATCACCTCTTTCATAGGGATTGGAAATACCCTACCTTCCTTCCTCACTATATCCCTGCATACTACTGCAATCTGTTCTCAAAGATCTCCCCAGTCAATACAGAAACTGCATCTTTCTGTTTAACAGCCTTTCCAGGAGGTATATCCTTACATTTGTCTAATCACATTTTCAATCCATTTATGCTTCCAGCACTCAAGATATCCTGCAGCAACAAGAGCCACAATTTAATTATAGGCTGCTTCAAGAAATTCTTTTTGTTTGTTCTGTACCTGCCTGTATTTCATGATAAACTTCAGAGCCTGCAGAGCAAGAAATAATGGCTACTGTTCCCTACTTCTAGTTGCCCAAGGAGGCTGTGGATGCCCCATCCTTGGAGGCATTCAAGGCCAGGCTGGATGTGGCTCTGGGCAGCCTGGTCTGCTGGTTGGTGAGCTGCACACAGCAGGGGTTGGAACTGGATGAGCTTTGTGGCCCTTCTCAACCCAGGCCATTCTATGACCCTATTTACATCTTCATGCCATTTGTGATGTTATACACCTCTCTGTGATTTAGTCATCTGTTTCCCAAGGTGAGCACTTCATTTTCTACTTCTAGGAAAAGACCAAACTGCTCATACAAACATCACAGAAGCATATTTGTTCCCAAACTTACAGATATGCAACTCAAACAACTAACAAGGACAGCCTTTAAGAAGTCTTCTTATAAAGATAACTTATTTTCTTATAATAAAAATTACTGCATATGGCTAGGGTTCTTTTTTGCCAGGTTTTTTTCTTTTTGTTTCCCAATAAACATTTCACTTTCTTCCTTCAAAGCCTAAGTTGTAGACAAAGTAATTAAATCCTTGCTTTTTCTCACACTTTTCTCCTCTTGCTGTGAATCTTCCCAGATTCCCACTATTCTGTTCTCCTTCCATTTATTGTCACACAACCATTGCTGTTCTCCACCACTCTAGAACAGTGGTCTTTAACTATGCTCTATTACCCTCTCAAACCTTATAGGCTCCATTGACACATAGAGTTCCTCACAACTGCACTGTAAGTACAATCAAAGCAACATAGCAAAGCCCCAGGCTGCAGCAAGAAAGGATTTGCTCAAATATAACAGCTACAAGCACAGAAACAAAAGAAATAACCTATTTATGTTCAGAAGACCTCAGGTAAACAGAGATCTCCACCAAGACAGCCTCCCCTCCACTGCCAACCCTTACATGAGGTCTGGGAGGGGGCGGATCCTGGCTCCATCCCTTCTGGTCCCTGAGGTACATTGCATGCACCTGAGGTTGGCCCAAGTTGGCCCTGCTTTCCCACCAGGTGCTCCATCACAGCTTCATGCTGTGACTTAGCATTACCACTACATAAAGGCATATAAACTTTTATGAAGAGGAATTACGGAATTTCCTGACTTACTCAGCAGAGCTTTAGAAAATTCCAGGTTCTTGATCTCTTACAGCAAAATCTAAAAGGTAATGTAATATCAAAGTATTACTGAGCTATTACTAAATGCTGATATTTCCTCTTGCACTCACTAACCTTCTCTGCTGATAGGGATCAACGTTTATTGTTAGTCTCTGCGTTTAGAATTCCATTACTGGAAACTTTTAGAAACTAGTTGCAAAAACAACACAGAAAAGATCTGGAAAGAGTAAATTCTGCCTTGCAGCAAAGGGCTGAGTTAAGCAACTGCTCAAGGTGCTTGGCTAGTCTTGTTCCTGTGATGCAGGAAAGAAAGTCTGATGATAAAATATAAGACACAGAAAATTATATATATATTTAGGATTCCCTTAAGCTGATGGCGTAGGAAGTCCATCACATGCTCAAATCCATGTTTCTGTGCATCAGTACTGCAGTATCCTTATTGCAGTATTGCAGTACTATGAGTTACGCTAACAGATCTCTTTGTCATTAGGTGCAACTATCTCAGACTTGCTCCTATCACACCTAGGATGCTTCTCTCATCATCTCTCTCAGGCACACCAAGTCAGGTACATCCTTGAAAGTTCACTTTTTCCAGTCTAGCAGGTTTTCAATTTCCCCTGTGCCTCAGAGACAAAAGAGATGCGCTGTGGGAAAAGTAGGTGAAAATTCCTCACTGTGTTTCATTGCTCTTTTTTAGCACAATTATTTTGCCTGAGATATTAGACAAAATGTTCCAGTGCCACTTGTGTGGTTCTTTAGGAATCTACATTTCCTACAGCCTGCTGACTGACGCTGCAGTGTGACTGCAGAATATGTCCCAGAATTCTTAACGTTCCTTTCATTGCTGAGGGCCTGTTAGCAGCTGTAAAGCAGCACACGATGCAGTTTGTACGTTCCTTCCCTAGATTAAAGCCTCATTAAAGCAACACAGTGGATGGGAACTGCTGATTGCAGCCTGAACTCTGATGACCACCTGAGGCAAGCACTGAGTCAGCTGTGGGAGGCAGGTGAAGGCAATTCAGCTGTGCTACCTGGAGGGGCTGCACCTCTGCACCCTGGCTGCACCTCTCCTGGACCCCATTTAAGGATGGCTGCCACTGAGGAAGGATCTCTTCTGGAGATTGCTCCTTGGGGAGTTCACTGGGAGTTTACAACACAGGTGAGTATTTTCATTGATTCTGACTATTATTTTCATTTATTTTGATTATCTTTCCACTGTGATAAGCTTACCAAGCAGCTCTATGCTTACTGATCTTACCAAGTCTAACCTCTGTATGGTTTCTGACTGTACATACACCATTGTAGAAGCTGTCTTATCAATGCAGCATACAAAAGAGAAAACCCTTCCCTGCTATGTTTTGTGATCACCTTTTTGACAAATCCACAGATCATGCAGTTTACTTTATTTATGCTTACAATGGGAACTCAGGCTGAACCAACTTGTTATGATGAATCTATATTCCTTTCCTAATACAGAACATTGGGGTTTCTTCTCCTGTAAGTGTAGCCACTTGCATTTAGCTGTATTAAAGTGCACGCTGCTGGACTGTGACCATTTAATTAGGTAATTCAAGACATAATGTAGACATAACTTTGTTGTTTACTACTCAACAAGTCTGTGCCATCTACAGATTTAACTGGCAGAGACCTATGATCACATTTGGATAACCAATAAAATGATTACATAGCTTCATAAAGTTGATTAATAATCATTAAAATGTGTTTTTTCATTTTCAAGTCTGCTTTTAAGACAATTCACAATCCATTTAATAATTACTGTGCAAATTTCACAATGTGTTGTTTGTATTTGGGTATTTTGTACTAGAATTGTTTGCCCTTTTTTACTTGCCTTGTCTATACAGTGACATTCAGCAGTGAGAACCTAGCATTTGTTTAACTCCAGTACACAGCTAAGCACCACAAAACTGCTCACTGAGTTCCCCCTCCAGCAGGATGGGGCAAAGAGCATCAGAAAGCAAGAAGTTAGAAAATGTGAGGGTTAAGATAGAGGTCACTTAATAAGAAAGAGGGGGAAAAGAATGCAAAACACAATTGGACATCATCAGTCAACCAGTGCCCAGCCCATCCCCAGGTACAGGCAGCCCACCCAGCTAACTGCCCGGATTTATTGTTCAGAGCAACCAGCACAGCTTCACCAAGGCCAAGTCCTGCCTGGCCAACCTCGTGGCCTCCTATGGTGCTGTAACTGCAGCAGTGGACAAAGAGCCACTAATGTAATCCATCTGAACTTCAGTAAAGCCACTGGTAGGGTCCTACGTAACACTCCCCTCTAAACTGGAAATACATGGATTTGATGGATGAACCATCCATCCAATGGATGTAGAACTGGTTGCAAAATCATACCTAGTGGCTTAAGGTCCAGGTGGAGATCAGTGACAAGCAGTGCTCCTCAGGGGTCTGTGCTGGGATCAGTGCTGTAAGCTCTGGGACAGTGACCACAACAAAAAGTCAGCATGTGTCTACTGGTGCACAGTGCTGTTTTTTGTTTGCACAAAGCAAGCGTGCCAGGATCACTAGGCAACAGCTATTTTATAGATCAACACTGAGCTCACTTCTGTTAGCATAACACCCAATTCTGAGCTGGTTGTAGAAGTGACTGCAATAATAAAACTTTATATGTAAATAATGCTTTACCTATTGTTTGCTCTTAATGAAGTTTTATTGAGCTTTAATTCTTTCACTTCCCTGCAGGAGAATTTCAACAGCTATCCCCAAGTCTAAGACATCAAAAATAACTCAGGTTTTTTTTTTCCATCCATTTGTTTCTTAGGTCTGTGAGCTTGGACCACAGGGAAACAGAGCCATCCATTCTGCATTGTGTGCTGTGTGACATGGAGTTGCAGCTGGAGTTGCTGGGAAATGACCTTGTCTACCTGAAGTTCAGCCAGTTATTCTAGATAAAACACTAAACCATATTATGCATCTAAGCCGCAATTCTGGATTATCTGTAACAATTGTCTGTGCCATACTTGAGATGAGGTACTTTCATCCAGTTGATCCTGCAGGTCAGACTGGAACTAGCCTGGGATGCAACCTCCCCAGGTAACAACTATTTCTGACAGTGCCAAAAGCAAGTGCACTTCATTCCCTGTCACATTTGTGCTCACAGTTCGCAGCACTGATGCAAACGTAGTGACTGCATCACAAGTGTTGTGTCAAATCCTAGAAGCCTTTCTCAGGCTTGTTTCAGCAACGTTTTTCTAGCCCCAGCAGCAATAACAGCTCTGCATTATGAGGTGGAGACATCAATGTCACTAGCTTCATGTTTCAAAGTAATGTCAGCACATCCTACTAATCTACCTGCCTCCCGTTACAGCTGAAAGGGTGACATTTCCCAATGGCTTAACAAAGATGCTATTATCTTTAACACTTTAAAATACACAGCCACGCCTTACACCAAGATATTTAGATTGCTAAAATAATAAATAAATAAACCATCCAAACTGCTTATTTTTACCTAATACTCAAAGCTAATTAGAGTGTGTACAGTTCTTCAGAGATAAGGTAGAGGTTATATTTTGGAAACAGGCTCTCTACTTTAAATACATGTAGTTTATCATCGCTTCCTCCTTGCACTTAATATAGTATTTGATCTAAATATGCCTTGGTCTGCGGAGTGTTAGAAGCACTTTGATTAATAAATGACACATGGAAGTCAGAAATAAACCAATGATACAAAGCAGAAGCAACCAAAAAGCTGCACAAAGATTGCAAACAATATTTTTCAAGGACTGAGACCCTTCCACAAACAAATGTAGCAATCACTTCCAGCAACTTCAGTGAATTCAAGTCACCACCACCCTACGAAAACACCAGAAGGCATAGGCAGAAACACGTGTCCATAAAATACAGTGAGCCATAAGAACCTGGTGAGCATCAGTTTTGAAAGTTTCTGTGGTAGTCAGCAAAACTACAAGGACAATTCCCAAAGTAAATTTACAGCAGCGAGGCACCATCAGCAATTAACTACTTGCTTTGATTATGTTATGAAATTATATTGAAAGGCTTTAGCAGAATAAGAGCAAAATGTGCCACAGCGGAAGGTGAAGGATAACACACTTGAGATGATTAATTCTGACTGTGATAGGTTTGAATGCCCCTTAGATCAAAAGAGAACTCTAACAACTGCTGCCAGACGTTTTTAAAGGACTGTGTATGCAAATATGTTTTACCATCTTCATGCTACAAATGCAGCAACGTTATGTAGTTCTTAATGAGCTGAGTTCACAATTAATAATGGAATACTGCCCTGCATGTCTGCTGCAGTTGAAGAGATTAGGGATATCAGTACACGCTGTAGATTCCCAGAGCAGGTCACCCTGAGATCATTCAGTCACTTAGGACAAAAATGTTGAGTCTCTAATTATTCCCTTCTGGTAAGAGAGGAGCATCTTCCAGTAAAGCAGAAATCCCTGAACCCAAATTAGATCATTTGGCTTTCCTCAGTGCCAACGGTGAGTCATTCACTTGCACTCTCCAAAACGAAAGCTGTTGCAATTTGCTACTGATAATACCAGTGAATATCTGGGTTTGGATGCAGTGCCCACTTTTATTGCTTCATCCTTCAATCACTATTTAAAAAATACTAGAGAGATCACAAAATGGTAAGAACTGGCCTAGCTGCCTAAGCAAACTTACGGAGAGGGCTGTCTCCGGATGCTTTGTCAATAGGGAGGAAAAGGAGTCATTTGCTGAACAGGGTGCTCTCTTTGCAGGATCCACTGTAAAGGAAACAGGACATTCTCCCTTAAGTAAAATGACCTTGCAGTTTCTTCGGATAAAGCTCTGAATAGATAAGAGTGTTGTTTCTTTGAAATGGAGAAGTGTGCAGAGTTTTCACAGCATTACCAGCTGCTTTTTTTAATTTAAAGCCGTTCCTTTACACACTTGTTACAGCACGTCCACTTGGGAACTCATGTATTTGTTTCCTTATAGACTTCTGCCGCAACAAGCCCGCTGTGTGCCTTTGGTTACGTGAATTGCAGCCCCTGCAGGCAGGGAAGTCCAAAAGCTCACGGAACATCCTTTGTAACGCATATAACGCTTACGAGGCGTTCGAGCGACACCTAGCGGCAAGCCGCAGCAGTGCAAGTACAAAACAACGCTTCGCGCCATTTTCTTACCCTACACTGAAAACGGCGAGAAACGTGAATGCAGACATCGCCACAACCCCCTGCGGTCTGCAGTAAACTCACCCCCTCGCTCCGTTTCACGATGGACCCCATTTTCTACTGAGAAATCCTACCGCTGGAAAGCGCTCAGCCTGCCGCGCTTCATGCAAAAGGAAAAAAAAAAAGTGATTTCAACACGTTGTTCTTATAGAATGAACGGATCGATGAGCACAGTTCTTTCGGTCAGAGGGGTACATTCTGCCTCACACCCACGTTTCTAATTGATTTTAACAAGTCGTTTGCAGCACGTCCGCTCAACTGGAGTCACTGGAAATACTGGACTGAGCACCGCGCCCTGACGTAACCAACATGGCCGGCGCCCCTGCGGAGCGAAGCCCGCCCTCCTCTCGCACCCACGCCTTCGATTGGCTGCCGGCCTGCTGATGGGCGGGGCGACGCGGTCTCCTAGGCGACGCGTTGGTGGCGGGAAGCGCTCCGCTCTCAGGGGAGACCGCGCTCCAGAAACGATGCTGGCAAAGCTGTGCCCTCAGTAGGCGGGGTGGGACAAAACCGTTTGTTTCCTATGTCCGATCCGGATCCTCTGCTGTCTCATCTCGGTTCTTGTCCTGCAGCGCTCATCAGAGGGGTTGTGTGCCATGAAATACAAAAGCAGTGGAGATATAGATAGATAAAGATGTAATCTGGGCTGTGTGCTAAGTGCTTTCAAAAGGAAAGCTAAAAAAAAAAAGAAGAAAACAAAGCAAAACAACAGCAACAACAAAAGCCAATCAGTCATATTTTTTATGCAAAAACAAGCATTTGTTAATGCTGGAGAGTAATTGTAACATTCTTTTCTCACCTTTACAATTTGTGCAAATACAACTGAGCCCAATGCAGAAAGAAGCGGTGTCATTCCCTATCCTTCCGGATGGAGGTTGGAATACCCTCTGCTGCGGTACAGAATCTACAAATGCTCATTAAACCAGTGATTAATTGAGATATTCCAGGCACTTCCTGCTGCTGTAGCCTCCATTGAGAGTGCATTAGAAATACAGATTCTGGAATGCAATCTTCTAGGAATTTAGATTAATTTATTATCACTATTATTTTACCAATTTCTTGGAAATCCCGTGCCTCCGTAAATTACATGGGTAGCTACACAGCTAATAATATTGCTATCTTTTTCTTTTCCTAAGAAACAGCCATCAGTGCAGAAAACTCAAGAAGTGATGCAAAGTGAAAACCAAACCCAGAACCCTGAGGGGATAATTAAAGAGCTGGTAAGATATTTGGTCCTTTTTGTTCATCTGTTTTGTTGTTTTTCTATTTCTTTTTTTTTTTTTTTAATCTTCCTCACTATTTCTGTAATTGTCAGTATTCTTGCTGGGCACAGTTACTTTTGGCTTCTCCAGAGATGCCATTGTAGCATAGCCTCCGTTCCGGAATGCCCCAAAGGTTGTATGGGATACGTCCTAACAAGAGCTTATGGTGATCTCAACATTTCATAAATGTGGTAAAAACATTCATATTCAAGATGCAGAAATAAGAACCTCACAGAATCACAGGATTGTAGGGGTTGGAAGGGATCTCTAGAGATCACTGAGTCCAACCTCCTCTTTTAAGGGGTTGTCTTCAAAGAACTTACCTTTTAGGTACATTTCCTTGCTTTGTTTCTTGAGAAGTGCTATACAGGAGTATTTTTATACAGAAAGAAAAATAATCTTGTGGGGTTGGACTCGATGATCTCTGGAGGTCCCTTCCAACCCCTACAATTCTGTGATTCTGTGATATACACCTCATCAAAAAAGCTAGTAGCTGTGACTAAGTTACGCATTTTTGTAGATAGTTATGAGCAGAGTCAGCAATAAACTATTAGAAACTTCATCTCCCATGAACTGGTTAGGATTTTAAAATGAGGTCGCAGTCCACATTCACTCAAAGTGTCTAAAGATCTACATATGTTCATCACAGTCAGTAGAAATAAGGAGAGGATTCATCTGCACAGATACAGCCATTTAGTGTCATTTTATCTGCTTTAAGGTACCTGAACAGCAGCTGCCAGATACATTTAAGTCCTCTGAAGCAGCACTGGATATATGCTGTGTGGTCAGCTGAGTCACATCACGTATTGTAAAGGAACCCTGCAGAATAATGAATTTAATATAGACACTTCCTGTGGTGACCTGAATGACTTTTCAGGGTGCTCTGGCTATATTGGATAAGTCTCTTGACTAACATGAGAGTAAGAGTTTCACATGCAGATACCTACACGTTAATCTCAGACCAAATCTCATCTGTAATGAAATTGCATGTGAACTTCTTACTTTTTGGCCAAACACTTGTATTATTACACAGAAGTAGAAAGCTACAAAACTGCTAAAGTTACCATCCATATACCTGTACATGAATGTATGTGTACATATGCTAGCTTATAGATAAATTTCTGGATTTCTGGATTTTAATCTTCATTAAAATTAGCGTATTTGAAAATTACTTTGTTTTAAAATGAAGGTGCATTCTGAGGTTTGATAGGAAGAACTCACGGAATACTTAGAAAGTGACTTGTGAACAGAAGAAAGCTATTTAACTGTTTCATAATGAACGTGGTCCTAATTGCAAACACATTTTGATGCATGGGAAGCTGTAAGAGAACTGAAGCTAAGCAGAGCTGTACCGTCAGTAAGATGTTGTACTTGATAACTTATTTTTCACACTGGATGTAAAGAGAATAATGGTTGCATTTCGTTTCCAGTGCGTATGTAATGGATTGTCTTATGAGAACATTGATCAAGAGGGACTGAAGACAACAGCACTGGAGATGTTTTTCTCAGGTTACCCTAGAATTGTAGGCATGAAATATTTCCCAAATTTAACTACTCTCACTCTTGTTGGGCAACACATTGAAAACATTACAGGCCTGAAGCACTGCTTGTTGCTCAGAGAGCTGTGGATTGCTGAATGCTGTTTAGTGGTAAGTTAATTCACTTTCTTTCTAGCCAACTTTAACCAACTTCCAGACCTTTTCAATAACTGTAAGTTTGTTTCACAAGCACTTCAGTTTGTTTGAGGCAGAGCCAGCGGAGCTCCTTTCAAAAGGAGTTTGGGTCTGGCACTTTTAATTTAAGCATGCAAAAATCACGTTTTAGGTGCACATCAAGTTACCCCTTTTGAAATATTTGTTAATTATCTGTTAAATATTTCTATTTAATTATTTTTGATAACCTACATTTGGATCTTTTAATTTCAAACTATATATTTTTTAACCGTAGCAGGTATATTGAAACCTTTTCCAGACAACTGGTTAGAACATAAACATTTCCATGAGAATAATACTCCATGAGAATAATAATTTAAAGTCACATAATTATCATGAGCTACTACTCTTTCTTTGTTAGGTTAATGGAAATCTTTCTAAATTAGTATAATTGTTCTCAAAGGGTGTGGTATCAAATTGCTCAGAACTACCTGGCAATGCTCTGTGGTGCGCTGACTGAAGGAGTGACATTTTATTTGGTGCTGCAAATACATCTTCTTCTATTTTAGAGAATAAGTGGTCTACAAAAATGTGTAAATTTAGAAAAGCTTTACCTTTATTGCAATGAAATTTCCAAGATTGAAAATCTGGAAGCCCTAACAAAGCTGAACGTACTTTGGTTGAATAATAACCAGATCAAAAACATGGAGGTGAGTCTGCTCTTTTTGTTATGGTTTCTTCTAATTTGTCCAGTGCATGGCATATTAGTAGTATGAAATCTAAATATGTTATTAAGTAAGGCTAACTTTCAGAATAAAAAGGGCAATGTCAGTCTTCAGCATACAAGAAGTAAGGCTGAAACATTATTTGGAATCGAGTGGCTGTCATGATTTTCTGCATATGCAGAGTTAACTTCCTGAGCCATTTTCCAACCTCTGTGACTACTGATGAGGAAAGGATTTTTGTGGGTGTG